TATACAATATCATTTGTAGTGATCATTGCTGGTTAAGCTAATAAGTGATTTGGTACCACTGATTAGTCGTATTCAGCATACCGCTTTACTCTTCGGCAGCAAACACAAAATCACTACAATTACCTATCTGCGGACCGCAGGCTATGTCCCTTATTTCCTATTTAAGGGAAAATTCAAATAAAAATAATATGTTTTCAGTCTCGATACCAATCAGTAAATCCATTCACTGCGCATTTTAGAACGCAATTATAATGACATCTCAGTAAGCTAATGCTTGCTCTATAAATATTTCCTCATAATTACGTGAATCAAATAAGACCTCTATTTCGTTTAACACTATGTCTACACTACAGAACTGGAGTTTTGTATTTTAGAAGGTTACATAATTTCGCTTAAAATCTCACATCGGTTTCGGACACTCCTGGAAGTTTTGATGGGACCTAGCTCTGGTTGAAAGTGCAAATCGCTTCACAAGTGAATCAACCTTCGAGTTGGCACAAGGCGATTCAATGGGAAACCGTCTATTCACTTCATAGTGAGCATAACTATTGCTGGCACTCTTGCCGCAGATCTACCCATGGGGAAATCATCACCTTTAGACGAGGTTCACCGACAATCTCAGCGTCAAATTGTTGTCATGGTAGGCGATTGCAGACTAATAAACATGGTTATCGTTTCATAAGTAGGCTTTTTCTGGACTACCAGTAGGTCTAGTATCAAAGCTGTATTCACGCTATTTTGCTCAAGGGGGTGAAGAACTGCTAGTTGAATTTACCACTACCATATGAGTGGACCATCTTAACGTTCCCATTGAATTTTTCATAATCTTACTCCTCAAAAGGTATGTTCCTCCAGGCTGGAGGGCCTCGTCTAGGTCCCATCAGCAACCTCAGCGAGATTCGAACCATGATAGTGCAGCATATAATCGAGACACGTCAACCGCCACGCTACACTGTCACGAGTGCCTTCGAGTCACAGGGCATGTGTTATTTTCAAAGAAGTATAGGCATTTTCCCATATAGAATTCTGTGGTTGGATTGTCAATTAAGCAATGTTGTATTTGCTATAGCAATCCACTGCATTACTTATTTCTTTTTTCATAAGTAGGTAGATCTGATAAAAGACTTTCATTTACCCTATTTTGTTTACGGTGATCAAAAACTGGTAGTTGAATTTTCCAACAATTCTATGGCCTTAGCTTGTACTCCTTAATTGTGGAAGTGGCTTTCTTCTTTAAAC